CATTGTGATAGCACTGCCTTTATAGGAAGAACACGAAATAAATATTATAATGGAAAATTGAGATCCATTAGGAGAAAACACAGTACTTTGAGATCTTACCTAACGAATGGTACCATAAATATGGATTATGTAAGATCGAATGAAAATTTGGCTGATCCATTAACCAAAGCTCTATCTTGAGATAAGTTTGGAATACATTGAGGGGGATGAGACTTAAGCCTATTAAAGATTAAATTAAATATTAGGATACCCAACCTAAGGATTGAAGATCCCGAGAACTAGGTTCAAAGGGAAAAATGAATCATAGAGTAATTTGTAGTACTATGCACATATGACTTTATTCTTTGTCCATCCCTATGGTGTGGTGCGTAAGAGCATGTGATGGTAGCGAAAGGTTGAGTATAATCTCTTAATAGTGTCTATAGCTCATTAGAGTGGGATGTTGGATTATAGGAGCATCCTTGAGAGACAACTACCTATATGAATGATGAAAGTGAGGTCGCTTTCCAAGAGAATCAGGCTAATTCTCTAAGACATTCATGAATTGGATAAAGCACATGGCCGTAAAAGTTCTAGCTTAAAGAACTCCTATGATACCTGAAATTTTATGTGTTCTAAGTAGCTATTGTGCCCATTGTTTTAAAACTCGGCCTGGCTGGTTAGCCGGCTGGGAGAGTCTAAAAATTGGAGGGCCTATTTGATCGAGATTCACTTGGGGTTGGACCTGGGGTACTGTAGTCACTGTTTTAAAAACTGGATCGGACCGGCTGGTCGGACCGATTGGACCGGGAACCGGCAGCTTCTCTGGTCTGATTTAGGTCTCAGGGGGGTTTTTGAAATATTTTAAAATTATGAGGGTTACTTTGTAATTTTATAGGGGTATTTTGGAGATATATCAAAAGTTTAGGGATTAATTGGTTATTTTATTGGGGCATTTTTGGAATAAATAAAAATTTTAGGAACCAATTTGAACCTTTTTAGGGGAATTTTTGTAATATATTGAAATTTAAGGGGTTAATATATAATTTTTAAAAAATAAAATATTGCTGACGTCATCGGTCCAACTGGCCGGTCCAACCGGTTGGACCGTGACTCGGACAACAAAATGGTTTGCCCTCCGGTCCAGGTTTTAAAACAATGACTGTAGTAACCCGCCAGTACAACCGTTTTTTTTTTTTTTTTTTTTGTTTTTAAACCAGGTGAATGAAATTGGCAAAAACGATGACTTTTGGCCAGCAAAAATGGTGACTTTTGGCCAACAAAACGGTGACTTTTGGCAGCAAACATGAATAAGAGTTAGGGGGTTTTAAAGGGTGGATCACGGTGAGTCGAGATGTGGTGTTTGATTAAGTTTTAGTTGCCAGAATTGCCAGAATTTGTCCAAGAAATGACGAAACCCTAGCTTCTGATTGCCGGCGATTGGTGGGTGGAATGGCTTGGGAACTTTGAGGGGTTTGTAGGGGAGTAGCTAGTGAGTCTAACAGTGGTGGTGGTTGAAGTTTTTGTCACTCAAAACAATCAGAATCTAGCAAAAGACAGTCGAAAAAACGTGTTTTCTGTCACCAACGATCGACAAGTGATTAGAGGGGATAAAGTTATGGTTTTGAAGAGGAAATATGGGGGTTCCAGTGGTGGTGACGAGGGTGATTTTGGGTGAGAAAATAGCTGGAAAAAGGGGAAAGAAGGCTGATGTCAACGCATGCTAGAAACAGTGACTATGCTAACATGCGTCGATTCAAAAATTTTGAAATTTTTTTTAGGGGACACATCATCGGTTTGACTCACCAGTCAACCCGGGACCCGGCTTCTCTGTCGGGTTTAGCCTTGGGTTGGTTTTTAAAATATTGGTTGTGCCCTTAAGTTGTCTTGGTTCAAGATGTGATCACTTTGGTACTAGTACAATAATTTTTTATGGACTAAGCAATTGTTCAAGCCATTGGCACCATTGTAATTTATAACATTTCTGTTTATACCTGGCTAATCTATAGTTTTTTTTTTTTTTTAATTTGTCTTTATTAAATAATAAGTGGGGGATTGTTGGTTTATTTTTTAATAAAGAAGATTTTATTAGAAAAAACTATTTTGACCATGTCTTCTTGCTCAAATCATGAAGATTATGTGAGCGTAATTTTAGACTTGAAAAAGCCAATATTAACTTTTATTCTCTTATCTAGTTGTAGATTTTTTTTGGATATATTTGATTTTTTAGAGAGTATAAATAAGAGAAAACTTCTCTTGTTAAAAAACAAGTTTTAGTAAAACAAAAAGTTCTCGCTGTGTTTAATTATTGATTATCAGGTATTAACAAGGTAGTGTAAAGTTCTATCTTCTTGTGTTGTGCAATTGTAAGAAGAGTACAAAGATAGTCTGGGCTATTGTATTTATAAGACGCGTGCCGAGTAGTCTGCTGCATCGAAAATTCAATTGTAGAGGCACAAAATCGTCTTAAAAGAGCAACATTTGTAACATGCCTCATCCTAATGTGTCTTTGGTGGTATTGTTTCAGTAACTTTTTTGGGTTCAAGTAGTTGAAGTAAATATGTATCATTGCATAGTTTCTTTTATTAAACTAACATATTTCATATACATTCAAACCAATATAGGGTTATGTTATTAAAAATTTGATAATTAATAATTAAATGAATTTGGACTTAGTACCTCAAAATATAACTTTTTTGTAAATTTCAGGAGTTGCCTACTGTTGTATGTGATTTTGCTAGAAAGCTCGCAGACCTCCAGAGCTTGTAGAGATGTAGTTTGACCCAGAATCAACTTGATCCAAGAACAAGCTTGACCCAGAATCAGTACAATCCAGAGTAAGCTTGATCCAATTGAAGCTCGTCATAGCGACCAATCCTAACAGCCGTTTGACATATCAAAGATAAGCTTTAATCTTGGATATTTCAGAAGGGATAAGATCAGCACCATTGGCAGCGCAATCTAAGCGCTCAATCACGAAGATCACGGGATTGCATGCCAAATCTGATCGCAATCCTAAACTTATCTATCTTTCCTTTTACTAAAACTTGTATAAATACCCCCTCAAACTATAGCAATTTATTCTAGGCATTCTATTTATTTCTCTTGTAAGCTTTCTAAAGCAATAAGAGAATAGTTGATGTAGGCTTAAGTTCTAACTTGCCGAACCACTTTAAAATTTGTTTGTGTTCTTTATTTTAACGCACTTTTATATTATAATGCTGATTTTCCTTAAATCACGCACACATCGATTTCGATTCCATCAAGGTCAATTGGATCTCTTTGGTTGGAACAAGTTTTTGTATCAACATTTTGGCATCAGAAGAAAGGCCCCTGACTAGCTTTCTTATTTCTGACAAAGGCAGGCAATTTCAATGAACAACTGATCACCTGAAATCCCCAATGGCTCGTACGAGATCCAAGGCAACCATTGAAAACAATGAAGATGTGAAAGCTACCCACCAAGAGGTGAATTAGACCACTGATCATGGCCAACCACCAGTACCACCGATGCAGCAGGACACCAATTAGTTGGGGGCATGAACCTCTAACCTAGAAAAGGGCCAACTGATGGAAATGATAAAGTCGCTAGTTGTACAGGTGGTTCAACAGAATGTGGTAGAGTTAAGGAATGAGTAGCATGCCAACTAAAACCTCAATTAGCCACACTTCACAGAGCCTACTCCCAACAGGCAAAATAACTCAGTTGGTGACCAATCTGGCTTGTCAGCAACAAGGAGCGATCATCGATGAGAATGGGCACATTTTACTCACGAGTGCAAATCTCAGGAATAAGTTAATCCCAGGAGGCAACCAAACAAGCAGCCCATGAGGGAGAATGAAACAACGGTTGTTAGAGGAATTCTCATCCTAAGTGATGAAATGTCTAGCAACAACATACCAGTTTTAATACATGCCAAAGAGAAGCTCAAACCTTGCAATCACACGCAGTCAGCCATGTATGCCAATCCGGCAATAACCGATGTTTCAGTTTTAACCAATATCACTAGCAACAAGCTAAGGAGTATGACAACACCTACTACCCCAGCCATCATGATTCCACCTCTCACACTAATGTGCAAGACAAAGTAGGCTCGCAAGTGATCATTCTCAAGGCTCATCCGCTCAAGGTAAGATTGAACAAAGCTTGCGAGTAGAATCCTCTGCATAATGAGGATTTAGATCAGGTGTAGAGAATGCTCAATGATCTGAGAGTCCACTAGAATAATTCGATGGAAGAGATAACAAGCTCTCCATTCATGGAGGAAGTCCATCAGGCACCACTTCCTTAGGGATTCAGGGTGCTAGAGAATAAGTTCAATGGGAAAGGAGATCTCAGAGACCACCTAGATACCTTCAACAGCCTGATGGAATTACATCAAGTCTTTGACTTGGAAAAGTATCACTGTTTTGCAATCACTTTTGTAGGAGATGCCAAGAGGTGGTACAAAAGGCTTAAGGCGAACTCAATCCAGTCATGGCAGTAGTTCTCCTCGCTCTATCTCTAGCAATTCCAAATGAGGAGACAGTTCGCCATGCCGCTCAGTTACTTGAGCAATATTCGTCAAGAGAAAGACGAATCTTTGACCTTGTATTTAACGAGGTTCTAGAATAAGTAGTCCAAAGTTGTAGACGCTCTAGAAGATTCAATTTGGACCTTATTGATCGCTGGAATAAGACCATAAATGGAGTTGTGGAAAGAACTCTAAAGTAAAAACTATGTAAGTTTGGCCAAATTTTACCATATGGTAGCCAAACATCAATGAGTTAAGAGCTCATAGTAGCCTTAGCCGATAGCTTTTCAAGAAGAGCCTCCGACTAGTGGCAAGACCGCCTATCAGATAAAAGGTGAGGCCAAGATTGAGGTGATAGGGACCAAAATAGGTTCCAGAAAAGGCAACGAACAAGTCATCATCGAGAGAGACAACCTTTTCCTCGATATGCAAAGTATACTCCTTTGGCGGAGGATGTAGCTCATATCTACGAGGTCTAAGGCTAGAAAGTCGCCTCCCCCAAAGAAAATGAAGGGAGTACCTAGTAGAAGGGATCGGCAAAAGTATTGCAAGTTCCACAAAGATATTGGGCATAACAACAACAATTGCAGAGCTCTAAAAGATGCAATTGAGAACCTGATAAAGAAGGGTCATTTGAAAGAGTTTGTCAAGGGAAACCAAGCTCCCAACAAGCAAAATGGCCAGAGTGGACAACCTCAACCACCCCTACTGGTCAACGATGTCATGGTAAGAATGATCTACGGGGGAGCTGAAGTTGTAGGCAACTTTAGGCATGCTCGTGGACAATATGCACAAGATGCTAAGACAGACTCAGTTCCCAAAGTATTGAGTAGCGAAACAAGGCCACCAAAGCAATCTAAGACAGAAAGTGAAGTAATAGGCTTCATAATAGAAGAAAGCGACCTGGTACCTTGCCATAACCATGATATGATCATAATCGTGACGAGAGTTGATAACGGTAGGGTTTATAGGATAATGGTTGACAACAAATTGTGGTCAACGTCATCTTCTTATGAGCTTTCCGAGAAATGAGGTTCACCGAGCAAGATTTGAAACAATGCCAATCACCATTGTATGATTTCACTGGAGACAACCTAGTTCCCAAAGGAACAATAGACCTACCTGTGACTCTAGGGGAAGAGCCCTAGATAATAACAATCATAGCAAAATTCTTGGTAGTTGGGCTAATGTTATACTGGGAAGGCCACTTTTGGATGACCTGAATGTAGTCTCCTCGGTTCGATGCTAGGCAATGAAGTTCCCCATTCTGGATAGAATTGGAGTGGTTAAAAGTTGTCAAAAAGATTACAGGGAGTGTTATAATAAAGCATTGACTGCAGCTCAAAAGTGGTCTCTTCCAAAGACCATGGTCATTATAGATATCGACCCTAAGCTCGGGCCCCTAAAAGATACAATTGATGCTCGCATCCATAAAGAAGAACTAACACTTGGGCTGACTGAGGAGCTACGCGAGGTTCCTATCAACAGGAATATCCAATTCGTATTCTGAAGATCGGAAATAACCTGGGCAATGAGTTGGTAGATTGGTTGGTGGGGTTCTTAAAAAGGAATCTTGATGTGTTCGCTTGGGTGCATGCAGACATGGTGGGGATCAGCCCTGAGGTGATGTGTCACCGGTTGAACGTCGACCTAAAAGCTCGACCATTCAGGCAAAAGAGAATGTTGATGGATTCTGAGCGATCTCAAGCACTCAATGATGAAGTTGATAAACTCCTGAATATCAACTTCATCAGGGAAGTAAAATATCTGGATTGGCTTGCCAACTCAATATTAGTGAAGAATCGAATGGCAATGGTAACCGGGTAGAGGTATAGCTGGATGAATTCAATCATTGCCTATTTGAAAGACAAAACAATCCCTAAAGAGAGAAATAAGGCTAAAACCCTCTAGGCAAAATTAGCTCGCTTCACCCTTATTAATGAGAAACTGTACAAGCGAGGTTTCAACACTCCATTGTTGCGATGTGTTGACCACGAAGAGGCAAACTATATCCTGAGAGAAATCCACGAGTGGATCTGTGGGAATCACGTCAAGGGGCAATCTTTAGCATACAAAGTACTTTGACAAGGATATTATTGGCTGATAGTTCACAAAGACACAACCGATTTTGTTTAGGAATTTGATAAATGTCAAAGGTTTGTCGACATTCCACGAGCTCCACCCTAAGAGCTCACAACTTTGACAAGCCCATCGTTGTTTGCAATTTGGGGAATTAATTTGATAGGCCTGTTACCTTAGGGAAAAGGGGTAGTGAAATTTGCAGTAGTCGCAGTCGACTATTTCACTAAGTGGGCAGAAGCTAAACCTTTGGCAACAATAATGTTGAACAAGCTGAAGGACTTTGTCTACAAAGTATCATCCGTAAGTTCAAAATCCCACACACTATTATCACTGACAATGGAAAACAGTTCGATTGTGATGACTTCTAATCATTTTGTGAGAGGCTTGGCATAAAGAAAAGTTTCTCAACCGCCTATCAACCTCAAACCGACAGATAGGTCGAAGCGGTAAACAAAGTGATCAAGCACACTATGAGAAAAAGCTTGACTCCCTTGAAGGAAGATGGATAGATGAGCTACCTGACGTCTTATGGTCGTACAGAACCTTGACTAGAAGCTCAACAAGCAAGACCCCATTCTCACTCGTTTATGGGTGTGAGGCAATGGCCCCGGTTGACGTTAGAGTAAGTTCATTATGGAGAGAAATCTTCAACAAAGATAACAATGAAGAGCTCCTATGCTTAAAGTTAGACCTAATTTAAGAGCATCGAACTAAATCCTAGCTAAGAATAGCCTCGTATTAGCGAGTGAAAAAATACTTCGACTCGAAAGTAAGAAACAAAAATTTCTAGGTTGGGATCTAGTCTTAAGAAAAGTTTTTCTCAGAGCAGAAGATGTGAACTTGGGGGCATTTAGGCCCAAATGGGAAGGTGTTTTTAGGATCTCAGATAAGCTCGCACCAGGAACCTTTCACCCAAAACATTTAAACGGCATAGCCGTCTTGCGAGCATGGAACGCCGAGCATCTGTGGAGGTATTACTAATGAGTAGCTTGGGTCTAGTTTGTTAGTTTTAAATTTATGATTTTAATTGTTAACGTAAGTTGTAAAGCCATTTTGTGGTCGATATGTTTTCAATAAATAACAAGTATTATTCAACATTCATTTTGTATTTTAAGTGTGCATTGAGATCGCAATTAGAATGGTTACTGTTGAAGAAACTTGAAGTTTAAAGCTCGAAAAGGCGACCTAGTTGTATAGCCAAGCCATAATTCAAGCTCAACAAGGGTGTATTCCCCAACCTGACAAAAAAGAAACTCAGATAACAATTGAGAAAAGCACATCAATGAGCAAGTAAAAAATAACTCATTGACTAAGACTTGAGACGAGCAACTAACGTTAACTCAACGTCGTTGCAAGAAAAGACTCTCAAGGTTTTGTCAAAAAGTTCTTAAGAAAGCGGACAACACATAATTTAAGAGCAAAATTTGATTTTATTAATTAGTTCGGTCAGACGGACTACTATGACTTCGTAAAGGAATTATAAATAGCAGTAGAGAAAAACCAAAGAATATACTTGCAAAAATTTCCCTTCATTAATTGTTCAACAAACATTACAAAGGGAGATGAAGGAAAAAAAATAACATTCAATAAGACTAGCACTATCAAGCCTAATCTAGTGCTAGAGTTGAAGGAGGATTTATAGGTGGCTTTTTCGGAGCAAGAGTGTCCTTTGCAACCTCGGGGATGTCAGTGGGAGCCGAGATTAGAGTAGGCGAGGTCGCATCCTCGATCATAAGCTTCTTATCGACCTCATCCTCACCATGCAAGCCTTTATTAGACTTGGAGCTGTTCAAATAGACAAACTCGAAGTCTGTAGCTTCTACCTTCATCCTCTCTACCTTTATTTGATATTCCAGAGGAAGAAAGGAGAAGTCAAGTAAGGGATGGGCCTCTGCACTGGATAAAAAAGACCAATGTATCTCAGGCATGTTGTGCGACGTCTTTTGTCAGATGATTAACCTCTGGTGTAGGCCTCTTCACAGTCCACTCGGGCAAGAGCAAACTCTCTGTCCCAAGAGGACAAGTCTTTCTCCAACCTTGTTGTTGGAGCCCCGTTGCTGCTATTAGTTTTTGGTTGCGCTCTCCTTGGCAACCTAGACTTGGGAAAGCTTAACAGTGAACACTTATCTGCGAACTCCCTCTCCTTGATAGCCAAGGCATTAGCTTGTTGTTTTTTTAGCTGGTTAGGCTCGTCCCTCAGCTTGGTAGCTATGCTTGTAGTACAAGAGAGCAGCTCATGAGGGGGCCATGATTTGTATTACTCATAGATCCTCACGGTCACAGCTCCCCTTACCACGTTTGTACCTATAGCGAGATGCTTTGGAAGCTCGTCGATCAACCTATTGATCTCGGCTTGAACTTAGCATCCATCTGTTCTTCATTGCAATGTCATGAAGAGATCCTCCTCTCACTCGCTGGCTCAAGGGCCTTAATCGTCGGAGCTGGTTTCTTCATGGCTGACCCTTCACAAGGCACAAGGCTTTAGCAACACCTTCTTCAAGCCTACTGTAGGCTTGATAGATTTCTTTTACAAGCCCTCTGCTAGCTTGATCATGTTCTTCTTCAAGCCTTCCTTTGGCTCAGGAACTTTCTTTGTCGAGCTCTTTTGAAGCTCAAGAGTGTTTTTCTTTGCAACCACCTTAGTGGCAGTTGCAAGCTTCTTGGAGCTTGGAGCCCTTTCAAGCTCACCCCCAGTCCTCTTTACTGGGGGTCACGAGGTTCCAACCCTTGCATGTTTGGTTGCAACCTTGGGCTATTTTTTCTTGGCAGTGTGAGCTGCCATTTTCTTCTTTAGGTTTTAAGGCCTCTTGGTCCACATGTCTATAGGAAGAACGAATGCATTAGCATATAAAGAAGAAGAATGTGAAAAGGTGAGCTATTTCACACTTACCTTTCTCAAAGATTGTTGGAAAAAGTGTCGAATCTAGGCAAAACCCAAAATTCTCTCAAATGAGGAAGCGTGATTAGCTTCATCACGTCGCGACAACTCTCAGGAAGGACTCTAAAAGCCCGTAATGGTCTTCAGTGGTCTGTGACGACATTAGTTTGCTCGACGTTCTTTGCAAAAGGAGACAAGGACAATTAGAAGTCGACCAATAAATACTTAACAATAAGAAAGAAGCAAGAATACTGATGGGCTTTATCGGCAAAAGAGCCATCGCCCCCAAAGCAATATAAAAAGTACTAGGAATCCCAATTTCCGAGCTTATTGGGGACATTGACCAACCCATCCAAATGGGTCTTTCTCGCTTTGAAGAGGTAGAAAGTGTCATCCTGACCTTTCTTCAGTTTTTACAGATGGACGAAGTCCGCTACAGAGAGCTCCCTTATTTTTTCTAAATTGTAGGTAATGTACATGCCTACCATTATTATATAAGAATTCCCCGTCAACTGAAGGGAAGCGACGTTGAAACAATCCAAAATGTCAAAAATGAATAGGTGAGGTGGGATAGACATTTCACACCTCAAGAGAGTCTCAAAGATCACCACCCAACCTATTGGGGGGGGGGGGGGGGGGGGTTCTTACACAAAAAATCTCTCAGAGCACGAAGAAAGTATTCGATCAGGATTGCATAACTCTCCCTTATCTGCTTAAGATTATTTATGGTGATCTACGAGGTTAGATCTTTTCTAAACCTAGATTAATGCAGGGCGCTCACATCAAGGGTTTCTTTGCTCAGGTTTAGCGAGTTTTCAGCCCCACTACTCATGGTCTGCTCATGAGCCTCAGCAGTGAGCTCATCCCGAGCTCTCTCCCCACTACCAACCGAAGTTGCTGGGGAGCCCTCTAAGAACATCCTTTCAATGTTAACATCATGGGAAAACATGCTTGACTAGCTCACTTGTGGATACCTGAAACATGAAGAAACAAGGGTCAAATGTCAAATAATGAGCAACCTATCCACACTTGCCTCCAGTTTAAGCATCTGAAAAGCTCTCATAAAAAGAGA